AAGCATTGACATATGAACCAGGAGGTCACTGTTCGATTCCCGGTCAGGGCACATGGCCCGAATTGTTGATCCCCAGTATAGGACATGCAGGAGGCAGCCTATCAATGATTCTCTCTCATCCTTGATGTTTCTATCTCTCTCCCTCTCCCTTCCACTGAAATCAATAAAAACAACAACAAACATTAAAAAAGAAAATAGGCTTGGGGAGAGATCAGAGTTAAAACTTTCTAACCAGGGCCATTGCATATGCCTGTGTACTACACAACTTCATTTGTATACATGGTAGTTTTGTATATTTATTAAGAAATATTCTGTCAAATGCCACTTAAGTGTCTTAAAGAGAGAGGTTTTTTTCCTAATTCACATAAAAATGTTCGGCTAAAATTCTTATCTTGTTCAGAAGAATAGTGTCTCTAGCAAAAACTTAAGGAAATCACCAAAGAACAGAAATAGAATGCATCCAAATCAGTAGAGGAGAAAAAGTGAAATAATTTTTTAAAATTGATCTGAGAAGGGCAAAAGGTGGAAAAAAGAGGCAAAGAAAAGTATGACAAAGAGAAACAAGTAAATAAAATGGCAAAAATAAATCTAAATAACTAGTAATGACTAAACAAATAGTGATTAAACTAAGCTATTAAGAGACGTAGTGTTAAAAAAAAGAGAGACATAGTGTTGATAATAGATTCAGTGAAAAAAAAATCCAGCTATTGGTTATTTGTAACTGAAAAATAAAACATAACACAGATTGGTTGAAAGTAAAAGGATGTAAAAAGAAACAATGAGGTAATACCAATCAAATCAAGGCTGAAGTCAAATCTGAGAACTAGTAAGTAGGTAGCACTGTAATGTACAGGCAACTCCTTAGTATTTAAAAATGGAGCTGAAATCCTGTATTAAAAATCTTGAGACAGGATGCAGGTTCTAAGAGTACAGCAGTTATTTAGTGATGTCTATCATGGGTATGGGGTGGGGGCTGGAGTGGGCTATGTCATAGACTGAAAGAACTACTAAAAGAATGTGAATGGCTACCTCCAGATGTTACTAAATCGACTCTTCCAGCTCTAATAGCATCTTCTGCCCTCATACATGCTTTAAGCTATCCTTTTATACTTTGCAATAGTATTTAATATAAATACAATTCCCTCAGGGGTGCCAACCAAATAGGCACTGTAGAAAAAAACTAGTACGTATACATTTGCGCAGACTATTAAAATTCATCAGAAAACTAAGCTGATCCTATTACCTTACAGGTAGATAATGGATGTGAATGGACTTTAAGCCTTAACAGACCCAGTTGGCTTCGAAGCAAGAAGCTGGGATGAGTGCTAGGTAGTGTCAATTAGCACATCTATGAAGGAGTAGGTCAGGTTGGGCCTGTCTGTAAGTGAACATGTTGAAGATAAAGCTCAAAAAAACAAAACAAAACACTAACCAACCAACCAACCAACCAAACAAAAAACCCACTTAAAAGGCACATGTGTTCTTTTCTCCAACCTCCCAAATATTAGACATTTCACTGGGTACTTCTTATGTACGACTTATTTTTTTTTCACAGTGTAATTTAAAAGTTAAGTTGAAGAAAATACAGTGTTGGTATATATCAAAATACTCTACATGGAATAAGGGGGAAGCAATATACCTACATTTCAGAAATGTGGGATAAACAATTAGTAAGGTAAATTGTAAAACCTCTTGCCATCCTAAAAAATAAAAACGTTGTTTTTAGAAGAGTTCCATTGCAGTAATATTAAATTATTTAAAATTATACTGTTTGAAAATCCTCCTAATCTACTGACTCTGGAAACCTGTGCAATTATGTTGTGATACAATGGGAGAGGATGGCTTGTGAAGCCAGTTCACTGGATTTGATTTCTAGCTTTGCCATTTACTAGGTATGTGGGCAAAACTTCTTGGAGTTTATTTCCACATTTGTAAAATGAGAATATCTTCAGAGATGGAAATACCTTATGGATTTCACTCTTCAATATGATAGCCCTGTGGCTACTGAGCACCTGAAATGTGGCTAGTGTGAGTGAGGAACTCAATTCAAAATTGCATTTAATCTAATTAATTTTTAAAAGCCACATGTGCCTTGTGGCTATCATATTGGACAGTGCAACATAAAGCCATGAAAGTGTGTTTCTTTGAGGCTTTAAATGCTTATGAGAACTAGGAGAGGGTATAAAAAAACAGCAGTAAGATAGATTCTCTACAAGTTTATTCCAAAAAGCAGTTTACCTAAAATAGTGTAGATAGCCTTTGTGGTGAAATATATCTGGATTTCAATACCATGTCTGTGTGAGCCTAGCAAATTTACCCAAAGTACTGAAACCTCAGACTTCTGAAGGACAGGAAAACCTACTAACCCCTCTGAGGCACTGTGCAGATGACAAATTAACGGATCTGATATAGTAGGTGCTTAACAAATCTGGTTTTCTTTCTTCTCCCACATTTCATTTTCTCACATGACCACTTTCTTCACATGCTGGCCAAGTGCTTGAACTGTTACTAAGTTTAATATTGACAAATGTAGTTAATGCCAACTGTTTGCCAACATGAGCATATCCACTAAATTGTCAATATTTAATTTAAAAAGAATCTGAACTTTAAAAATGACCAAAAATGTATCCTCAACATAGAAAAAAGAAAACTCAGAAAACATTCTTTAACTCTAAAACCATTATTATAAAATGGAAGTAGATATTGCCTAGGTATGGCATAAAAACTAGGCTTTCTGGCACCTTTAGCTCATTCTTTTAAGCTATTAAGATTCTCAGATAAGGATTAGTGCTTCTGAATTATTCTGCTACAAAACTGCTTAATTGATTTGAGGATGAAAATAAAAATTTAAAACAAAACAGAACTTGTATCTGTTACATAGAAATTTGGCTCCAAAATTTTTGCAAAGTGCCACATCTTTTACATATTCCAAGCCCATAAGATGAGCCAGCTACCTTTAAGGTTCCTTTCAATAATAAAATATTCCAAATATCTCTATTAGGTTGTTGATAAATACCTGGAATAAAATGTCTATCATTCTTAGGCTGGGAATTGGTGGAAGCTAACCTAAAACTGACTTCCAGGTTGTTATCTGAGGAGTCCCCTCACTGCTCAAGCCACACAAAAGCTATCTACATCACACCTATAACTCTTATCTTAATTTTTAATTTCTGTTGCAGAACATTTGCCGCTGGAGGCTGCCAAACTGTGTCTATGACTGTCCCTCTTAGCTATTTTCAGATAGTGGCAAGGCATAATGTGTGAGGATAAATATGCTTATTTGCACTAAAATTTGCTTCACTGTCAGTTTAGACAGGGGCTACAAAGGCAGATCTTTTAGTTTGGTAAGCTCCATATTAAAAATCTAAACCTGAACACAATTTCTAACCACTGAACACACATTTTAATATCAATGGGGAAAAAACTTTAGGTACAAAATACGGTGTAAATCTTCACTAAAAAAATAAAATAAAAAATTAAGGACTATTTAATTTGGTCTGTGCATCTAAATACTGTACTTTGGCCCTATTTTCTTGTCTCACATGCTCTTAAGTAAATAACAAAAAGTACTAACCATTTCAGCTGTTTTTCATATTCATAGAACTAGAAGCAAATACTTGACAAGCTATCTGTGACTTAGTATGGCTGAATGTAGACATACACACAAAAACAAGCAACCAAGAAATAGTTTGATACAGAAAATCTCCAATTTCTTACCTCTATTCTATTAACTAAAAAACACATCAAAACACTTCTTTTCCAGCCACGAGGTACTGAAATCATAAGTATATATTAGCAGGTGTCAATAAATCCCATGCACCAACAGACTGAATCAAATAGGAAACCAACTAGTCTTTAAGACTTGCCAACCTCCTTGACTACAAGGCTTGGATGTGCTCTTTTTCAACTCACTAGGTCTCTAATTTCCTTACTAAACTTTTATTGTCACTTTTTATGAAGTTTAGAATTAATTACCACACAGCCAGGATGTACAATGTTGCTCAATTTCATGGTACACCAACAGGATCCAACTGAAACTTATTGGCATAATCTGAAGTGTAAGCTATAACTACACACTAAAAGAAGGGTTTCTACACCAACTACCCTACACACACGGTTCTCTGCAAGCAAAGTTCTAAATATGTTTAACTTGCAGGACTGGTGCATGAGGGATAATGAATTTGTAGCTTTTTAACGTTTTTTTCTCCTCTGTGAAAACACAGTAAGTCATTATCAACGTGTATCTGAATACTTGCTTTCGTACTACAAAAAAAGAAAAAAGAGAAAGAGGAGAGAGAGAGAGAGAGAGAGAGAGAGAGAGAGAGAGAGAGAGACAGAGACAGAACATATCAGACTGACATGCCTGCTGGGTGGATGAGCTCCACCCCCAAAACTCTGGGCGAATACCCTTGTTAGTCTTTCTTAAGATCTTCATTCTGGTCTGTCCTCATCCCACATACATTGTTAATCTTGGAAAGCATCTCTATACAAACACTGGTTTTTAAAAAAAGTCTGAGGTGTTGCTTATATGCCCAGATTTCAGACTACAGGGTTGGGACTTGGAACTACGTGTACTAAAACGTGGCCTTATGGAGAGTAGTGGTGGGGAAAGGGAGGTCAGCGGCAAAACGAGTATAAAGAGAGAGAAGCTGTGAATTTCGGGGCCTAGAATGCTAGGTCCCTCCTTTACAAACACCCCCTGCCCGCTGCCCCCACCCATCCCAGGAGTCAGACAGCTCCGGAGAGCTTGAGGGGCCAGGCGTGCCTGGCGACAACGGAAAGGATTTCGACAAATTCAGCCCCAGAAAAGGCTGGGAGTAGAAAAGAGATGGGATTACGAGGAAAGCTGAGAGCTGCTTCCTGGGGCCACACTGGGCCCCCGACTTCAGGGGACAAGCTAGGCAGTGCCAGCTGACCCGGGGCCCGGGGGCCTCCCCTTCAAAAGCGGGTAGCGCTTGAGGTGCAGGGGGTCCTCCCCGGCCCTTCCGGCTCCTCCTTACCAGGGCCGTAGAACTTGCTGCCTTTGGTCACGTCGAAGACTTTCCCATTGACCGCGAGCAGGATGCGCGGGGTGCGGGACCCGTCGTATTGGCGCAGCTGCTCCAAGCTGAAGTCGCGCTT